CGTGATAAATACAGACCACTTTTCCGCGGTGCCCGCGGGCGCCAACTACATATTCGTTTTGCGCCGTAAATATAGCTCTAAAAAATTTTTTTCTTCGTTGTAAAATCGTTTTATGGCGTCCTTTTTCCATCTAAGCCGTTTAAAAAAATGTTTTTTTCCTTTGCATGTGTCCTTTAAGGTGTCCGATTTGTACGCAGTGGTCGCGGGTTCAATGCGCGGTGGTGCTGCTTTTTTTTTTTTTTTTTTTCTCGAACATTTTGTTTTATCGAGGCATTTGGCGATATTTATGAGTGCGTATAGCTTTACTCTTGAATAAATGCTGCCCTTGTTGATGAAATTCCCTTGGCAGTGGCAGTCAGACGTCATCTGATGGACCATCAGATGACGTCTGATGGTCCATCACGTTCCACCAACGCTGCTGACTGGCAGTCAGTGTCCCAAATTACGTAGCTTGATGGAATTTTCAATAGCGAACCGTTCTTGAGAAACGGGAACTTGATGCATACGGTCGATCTTCATATCATACAGCAAGGGCTGGTCGGGACAATAGGTTATAGTGTCGGGACAATAGGTTGTAGTGTCGGAAGATAAGGTGGCGTCTCCGTTAGCAGATGCAAGTGTTGCCACCACTCTGTGAGGGCCGCCTAGCAACATTAAGGGATTCTACTCTGGAGCCACCGCTGCCTCTTCAGCCTTGTTGTCTTGTTGTTCAGGACTGGAGTTATCAACCGGCCGAAGTAGACACCTAAGGTTGTTCCTCAGCTAGAAAACACTACAATTTATTAATCTTATACGTGATGTGTCTCTTTAACAATCGACCAAGGCAGTACAGAATGACGAAAGAAAGAAGATTCACACAACAGACATCGAAATCTAAACAACTTCTAAGAAGAAGAGCTGGGACGACTGACACCCGAAGATGCAAATGCAGCTGTACTGCGTTCACCCTCATTAATCTGAGACCTAATGGGTCGTATCTTCATACGCCTGAGCCCCAAACCAAGTTTTAATACTCATTGTGTTTTCGGAATACGGCGTGTCAAATTCACGAGAACAGAATTTCAATCACAGCATAGTATAGCAGGGGTTGAAGTGGACGATACATCTCGTGTACTGATTCTCTAAATTGGCTCTGAATATTACCTGGTTGGGGTGATATGTGCATACTCATCTCATTCAAATGTAAATCTTAATTGTATTCTTTCATTCCTCATATGCGATGCTTGCTTTGTTTTTTTTTTTGTTTTTTTTTAATTTCGCATTCAGTTTCAGTTTGCTGAATATATGTAGTTAAAGGTATAAACAAGTATTGTCGCTTTCCGTTCCTTCATGTTTATTAACCGTCGTCTTTCTAAACCTTGCAGATCGAATTCGGCAGGAACTTGGACGCAGATGTGAACGACACTTCGCAGCTTTGGAAAGGTGGCCTGTCACCAGCCGAGTCCCCCTTCGGTGGTGCAACGTCTTTGTGCTACATTTTTTTCTTTACACGTATGCGACAGAGTCAGATCGAATGAAATGGCTACAGTTGAGCCTGCTGCGTGTAAACTTTCCATCGTCTGCCTTACCTCACTTTGCCTATTTACCGCCCTCACCCCCCCCCCCCCCCCCCCCCCGGGGCCCCTCCCACCCCTTTCAAAGCCTTTCATGCATTTATTGATTGAAACTGCATAATCCCTCAAAGTATGCCTTAATGCGGACAAACTAAATAGTGTGTCTTACTTTTGGTTTATTATGTAGAATTTCTGAAAGTGGTGTCTTATTTCTAAAACGGTGAAACAACGTGCACTATCTGCGTGTTTGCTTTATTGTTTGCTCAAGTAAAGGCAGGTATACTAATTTCTTATTGTCATGCTTAAAACCGCAGATGCTTAAAACACTGGCGACTACTTGTGACCTGCAGCGCAGCGGCCGGTCATCAGCAGTCACAAGATGGTTCACAAGCCCCTCCGGTCGTAAGCAGTGACAAGTGTGTCAACTGCCAAAATTCGTTTCTTTATGACAGTACTCTCATATTGGGTCTTAAGAAAAATATCTGCAGATCTGTTCAAAGCACACACGTATGGGTGCTTTGAACACGTCAGCAGACAGTTTTGGTAGGCCCAATGTGAGATGACACGAGAAAGAAACGCGCCTGAGATGGTATTTGCAGACTGCTTTTTGCTTGCTGTACGAGCAGTCTTACCGGGACTTTACGGAGCGAGTCAAGAAAACGTCGGATGATGATTAGTCTGCTAACGTAAGTGAACAATAGAATTCGTCTGCTATGAAGCGGCATTCGCAGACAAAAATAGAACCAGAAAATACTTTCACGTATTCTGTTAACGGACCGGAATAAAGGCAGCCGTCTGCTAAAAGCCGAGTGCCGCGAGGAAGTGACACGGGACGCAAGCTGAAACTGAAATGGTCTGCTAAACTTCCCGTTCGATGGGATCGACAACAAGCGCTCCCTCTGCAAATTTCCAGCTCTGCTGCCCTATTTAGGTCAAGTTCTCCTATGTATGCAGTACTCGGGACAAATACTTTAATACCTCGAGAACCCTGTCATCATCCGTGTGTTAGTGAGAAGCTCTCACCAAAAGGACTCGGGAAGACACTAGAGATTATCTAGTAGCATGACTTCGCACTTGTCGATAACTCTCGCAGAGCAAAACGCTGAGGCGTCATGTCCAATCAGTAACCGAGAATGCTATCGCTGTCACCAGGTACCAATACCGACCCCTAAGGTTGGTTTTGAAAAGCTGGCGGAACAGGGCTGAACACAATCAGTAATAAGAGCCATGTTCCAGCCTGAACCATGTCCTCACGGTCCGGGAAGACTTTACAGAGGAGGTAGTTAGAAGTTGTTAAAAATGCATAAACAAAACTACGAATGAACTAACGAGGGATTCGAAATGTGTAAAGCTATGGCGGTCTTGAAGATAAGACGTCTTCAAAGGGAAGCTGAAGCGGTTTTGTAATTGAGAAAACACACATAAATTGTCTTAATTTGCCCTTCAGGAAGCCCAATGTTGAAATTATTTTTCAATTTCATGCACGGAGGCAGCAGATAATCTTTTTTCAAAGTACCGCTGAAGCCCCTCCTTCCCGGAGCGTGCAGTGTTGAAAGGAGTTTCCGGAATCTGCGCTCTCGCGCATCCTCAGTGCCTATCGAAGTTATGCACGCGACTCTTGCTATTTTTAAATAGGGGGAAAAAAAAAACTAATGATTGCTGCCAGTGCGGGGGAGTGGCAAGCCTGCAATTGCTCACGAGCGACACGCGCATGGCGGCCGAAAGATCCTTTTAGGACGTAACGACTGGTCGGACGTTTTTCGCGTGTTCTCGCGTTTAGTTACATCTTCGGAGAAAACGAACCAAATCTTCAGAATTACGGGATCAAACAACGCAGAAATCAACCTCTGTCTCATTTTTCGGAAGAAGCGTTTCAAGATCAAGAGGAGAAAGCCACTCAAGCTTGTTTTGAGTTGGAAGAAATAAAAAGGAGAAAACAAACATTTGCGTTGCAATAAGGACTGTAAACTTTGTACTGGTGTTGAATGGTGATGAATTTATGATGAAGATCCCTTACCAAATTATAGCGTTTTATATTCAACTTCTGTATGATCTAAAAGGCTTTTTACCAATGCGGTTCTATGGGGAACTCGTGAACGTGAACCAAGTATCTCAGCTGAAACTCGTTCTCCCTAAGTGGGCCCCACTTATGTTAGTTTTTGGCAACATGCAAGGCTGACTGATTAATCTACACTGCATATCATTTTATAAATGGTGGCTTTAGTTGCGTGGATGCAGCGCAGACGGAACCAGAAAACATTTTCCTCCTCGTTAGCGGTTTGACGCTGCATATATAATGAAACATATCTCGTGGAAATAGAAATGGTCACTGTTATTTGGCCAAAACATTCACACTCGGAAATGGAATAATCACGTAGGACTTATTTTTTTCGCGTCCTTGAGATTGAAATGTCTCGCAGATACCCTCCTATTGACAAATGGTGTTATTATCCATGCCCTGTTTAATCTCGAAAGTGGCCTTCAGATTTTTACTTGATTAAACTGAACTGCAAATGCGCATTTTCCCATTTGTTGCCTTCTTTTTTCTAGTCTCTGCGTCGTAATTCGTAATCATTTACTCCGCAGTTTAATCAAGTAATGAATAGCCAACTGGACCAATTACAGGCACTGGTATCCTTCAGTTTTAGTTGCACTCATCCAATGTGATGATATTTGAGGGCAGGTAAAATGACTTTGTGTTTGGCGACTGTTTATTAACCCTCATCCTTCTAAACTTTGCAGGCCGAACTATCCGGAAATCCTCTTAAAGCAAGCGTGAGCGATCCTTCGCTGCCTGGGAAAGAGTGCCAGCCACCAGCCAGACCAACCTACGGCAGTGCCAGAACCTTGGGCTACATTTTTCCCCAGATAAATGGGACCGAATAGTCGGATAAAATAGGGAGTGGCCTCAGCTCAGCCAAGTACATGCAACATTTCCATCCCCTCCCTACCTTCGTTCGCCGACACACCATGTCCATTTTGTTCACGTGTAATTCTCAAAACCTGTGGCGGCGATATACCGTGCAGTTGTTGGTTTTGTGGCATGCCTGCCTTTTTTCAGCACTACAGAGCAGGAGCGATGTAACTAAACCACGCTCTTTGATCGTACCCAGTTGTGTCTTTCATGATTTATGTAGATCTGTATCGAAGTAATCTTTTACCGTATGCTTAAAGGTGAAGTAAAACCTTTGAAGCACGTATTAATAGAGAAGGATCACTTTTATGTTTGATTCACGTGCATTTTTACAGTCGACGTTTTCGGTGTATTCAGTATCAAGTTATGGTGCGGGTGTTTGATCGTGATATTATTATTTTACGTTTTGAATTACTCCGCAATATCAATGTAAACCCCTGAATTTCTCTACTTCATCAGCATGATGTGTTTATGTTTGCTTGTTCCTTAAGTTTCGTTGTGATTGAGCTTCTGTGTTGGTATAGTATAAAAAAATGAACAAAACAAAATTTGATCTTCACTCCTAACAGAACTTGCCCACGCAGCATCCGACTCCGAATGGCAGAGAACGGACTACGAGGACAAGGGGGCGGAGCTCTCCTTCCAAGGAGCCGAATTGCAGAGGCAACCATTGAAGATGGACCAGGAGGGGAGGACGGACGGCGGTGCGACTTCTGCCGCCAATCTTATGGTGCCCACGGAACTAACAACACCAGGTATGAGAAGAAGCACACGGGAAAACAGTCATACAGCCTCGCACCCTCTTAGCACACCCTCACAGATTCATGAACGGTCCCACACGAATAGAAAACCTTTTTGTAGGCTCGGTTTTTTAGAAGGTGGAAAACGTACGGAGTCTGATGTGGTAGACAAAGTTTTCTCCACGTGGAAACTTCATTAAGTTTTAATTAGCGGTCTGCACCAAACCGAAAAAATATACCGCATACATAGTATTTGATATCAGAGAAATGTACCATGCCGAGTTGTTTATTTATATTACAAAATTGTATTTTTTCCTTGAGTTCCGGTTGATCGAGTAGCTTTCAGAAATGCTATAAATAATTTTCGACGCATGAAATAGCCCAAAATATGTTTGGCTGTTCCAAATGATTGAAGCTTTAGAACAGGGGTGGCCTAGCTGCGGCTCTTCGCGTGTTAAAGTGCGGCTCGCGGCTCCACCCCCCCCCCCCAATAAAAAGTGAAATGGACCGCGTTTTAAATCGAAAGACAGGTTGCAGTTTGCTAGCCTTGTGATACTGCTACCTTACGTACAGTCGGACTGCTTTTGACTCGGATAGATTGAAAGTAGCTCGAGTTTCGTTTACTGCACTGGACAAAAGTTTGCCTGCCCCCCCTCCCCTCCCCCCCTGCGGCTCTTGGAAGTTTCGGGGTTTTCGTTTGCGGCTCTTAGGCCGGGTCAGCCTGGCCACCCCTGCTTTAGAAGTTTAGCTCTAGGCTGGCAAATCTCCACATCATTGTCGATATAGAACCGCGTTTTTTGCTGTTTCAAATCACTCGTAAAATAATTACTGTGTACCTTAGCGATTTTTCAAGTTTCTAAGGTGCACAACGAATATTCCACGACAGGGATGGGCAGTATTTCAAATACAAGTATTTGAAACATGTATTTTGAATACTTTGTGTATTTTGCATTTGTATTTAATTACAAATTGGGTAATGTATTTGAAGTGTGTATTTAAATATTAAAACGCGGGTATTTCAAATACAATTGTAATTAAATACAATTTTGTGGGCGAAGATACATCCCTCAAATTTATTGTCACTGTCCAGAGCAGGAAGAAAACTACGTTCTGCGCCAAATGCAGTGTCACTCAATCAAGCACAAGCGTTTAGTGACTTTGTGATTACGGTGCTAGTCCAGGGCAAGAATAGTGACGAAATCGACGTTCACAGGCAGACTGGCTAAACAAGTGCCCGTGACAACGTGCGATGCTTTCCAGCCTGATTTCCATCCATATTTTTGCCTGGAACATTCTAAATGCGCGGGTCGTCCAGATTGTCGTAACTGGTGCGAGTTGCAGCAATAAAAAATTCTCTAGCTAGTGCTGCGCATCTTGGTCGTCTCTGTTCTTTGTTGGTCTATACCAAAATGTAATCGACAAAAAATTCTGCTTGAAGCTCTGTACATTTTTAACCTAGTACGTCCAAGCTGATTACATTTTTTGTGATTATATTTCTATTACGTTACTACAGCCTCGCACACAAACTCCCGAGTGAGCGATGCAAAATTAAAATGAGATAACCAGAAACCCGTTGCAGGTGCCCTGAAGTCGCTGACGCAAATTTCGAGGAATGTATTTGAAAAAGTATTTGGAGGAGACCAAATACATTTGACTGTATTTGTATCTTGTTCTTAAATGCTTTTTTGGAAATGTAATTAGAATTGTAATTAAATAAATTTTTGACGAAGTATTTTGTATTTGTATTTCGATACATATTTGCATGTATTTTGCCCATCCCTGTTCCACGAGCTTATTGAATGCTATTTTGTGTAACCTAATATTCTGTGGGTGTGTGAATGACCCTTCCAGCGTCACTTAAAACACAGTCGCGATCATTATGAATGTCAACACGCTATCACCCGGCGCTTCGTACTGGCAGCGGTAAGCAGCCGCAGTGTTGTAGCCGTTACCGTAAACAAGTAAAGAACTACGTTACTTGCGAAATAAAGGAACGCGATACTGTCGCCGACAGAACGTAACGCACGTTACTTTTGCGTTACTTTTTATTTATAAATTGACGGTAACAGCGCTTTTGTTTTCTTTTGGCGACAGCGTGTTTCGACTTTAACATGACAGGCGCTGGTTGGGGTTTTTCTAAAGCGGAATATTTTTCGTGGGGAAAGGATTGGAAAAATTTAGAAAATTTGTAGATTTAGAAAACTAATGAATACGTCACTACGTTACTGAAAGAAAAAAGGCGCTACCGGTAACGACGTTACTTGTAACACGTTACCGCCAACACTGTGCAGCAGCAGCCGCGGCGGCTTGACTTTCCTTCCGCACTTGGTTAGGAGAACGCACAAGCCACCACAGCTGCCGCAGCATGGGGCTGCCAGAGTGGAATCTTAAAAGATTGCCTATAGACCTTCACAAGCATTACGATTGAACCTTTTTAACATCTCAAATGAATGAATACCTGCTCTAGGCTGCACCGGCATGATGTAGGTATTCTGGACCATGTTCATCTAGGTACTCAAAATTCCCATGTTCAGAAGAACAAAAACAGCGCCGACATTTCTTGCTTTGTCCTGTCATCCCAACAGACCTGATCGAAGCATACTCAGGCGACAAAGTGGATACCTTCGACCAGGACAGCCGCAGGGGTGACACCTCTCCCCCCACCAACCCACAAAAGCAGCAAACACACCGAAACGGGACAAGCACCGGTGCCGCTTCTGTCCTCAAACATGTCCTTCTGCAGCGGGTATCGCCATCCACGAGAGGACTCACACTGGAGAGAGGCCCTTCAGTTGCGGTGCCTGCAAGAAAACGTTCGTGCGGAAGCTTCACTTGATATCTCACGTTAAAATTCACACCGGAGAGAAGCCGTTCAAGTGCAACACGTGCAGCAGGGCGTTCAGTCATAAATGCACCTTGGCAAATCACGACAGAATTCACACCGGAGAGAAGCCGTTCAAGTGCAACACGTGCTGCAGAGCGTTCACTCAGAAAACCCATTTGGCGAATCATGAGAGGACTCACACGGGAGAGAAGCCGTTCAAGTGCAACACGTGTAGCAGGGCGTTTACTCAGAAATGGGATTGGACGATGCATGTGAGGACTCACACCGGAGAGAAGCCGTACAGGTGCAACACGTGCAGCAGGGCGTTCACTCAGAAAACCCATTTGGCGAATCATAAGAGGACTCACACCGGAGAGAAGCCGTTCAAGTGCGAGACCTGCAGTAGAGCGTTCGCGGCTCATAACAATTTACACGCTCATCGGAAGATACACCGCAAGTTATCGAAACAGCAGCGTGCATTGTAGTTGTGGAAGGGATTTAAACGGAATACTCTAGCACCGACGTGTGTTCATTTGGCTTGGCGACAGACCTGCAGCGGTTCTACTTGCGAGCAGTGTGTGTTTTGCATAGTTCAAAATGTTTCAGCCTGTTATTTATTGCGCAAACACAGATAAAAAATGTGAATTTCCCTTAGACGAAGCGACCAGAGGTCTTTTTAGAGCGCAGCTCTTAGGCGCCCGTTTCCGGCTTGAGCGGCGTCGGCGTCGCCGTCGGCGTAACCGCGCGGTGCATTATGGGTAAATTTCCCCGCTAAATCTGGCGGGAAAATTTCCCCGCTAAATCTAGCGGAAAAATTTCACCGCTAAATTTAACGGAAAATTTTCCCCACTAAATCTAGCGGAAAAATTTCCCTGCTAAATCTAGCGGAACAATTTCCCCGCTAAATTCAGCGGAAAAATTTCCCGCTAGATCTAGCGGAAAATTTGCCCCGCTACATCTAGCGGAAACAATTTCCCCGCTAAATCTAGCGGAAAAATTTCCCCGCTAAATCTAGCGGAAAAAATTTCCCCGCTAAATCTAGCGGAAAAAATTTACCCGCTAAATCTAGCGGAACAAATTTCCCCGCTAAATTTGGCGGAAAAATTTCCCCGCTAAATCCAGCGGGAAAATTTCCCCGCTAAATCTAGCTGAAAAAATTTCCCCGCTAAACCTAGCGGAAAAAATTTCCCCGCTAAATCTAGCGGTGAAATTTTGGTCACGTGACCTCGGGGGGGGGGGGGGGGGGGTCACGTGACCCACCCCCCCCCCCTTTCGAGAACACGTGGCCCTCAGTACCCTTCCCTCCTCCTCCTCAAAAGCTGCCCTCCAATTCGGCATTACAGGGAGTTGTAAACGGCTTTCACTTTTTTGTACACGAAAAAAAGAAAATATTTGAAGCCTTAACTTTTTTTATTCATTTAGAGTCATTAATCACGTGATGCACCTGAAGTTTCTGTGTTGAATGTAAGGTCACTTATGTACAGTGCTAATCACACTTGTCTATAACGCGCGAGCGAGCGGCTTTCTCCGGGGAGCGCTGGGCTGGTGGCATTCGCGGAAACTAAGCTAGTCACGTCACGTGGCGCAACATGGAACGGCCCGCTCGAGGGGTGTCCTGCCCACTCTATCAGCTTGATAAGCGATAAAAATAAAGTGCTTTATGATATATTTTTGTTTTTTGATGACGACATCGTTGATACACCATCATGCTTTAGTCTGTTTATTGTTCGAGCAATGATGTTTGTAAAAAGCGTGCGAGCAGCCTTCCGCGTTCGCCGCCAGCTGATAGAGTGGGCAGAACACCCCTCGAGCGGGCCGTTCCATGTTGCTCCACGTGACTAGCTTAGTTTCCGCGAATGCCACCAGTCTAGCGCTCTCCGGAGAAAGCTGCACGCCCGCGCGTTATAGACAAGTGTGATTAGCACTGTACCTTACAAGTCGGCCTACTCATGACGATAAATATAAGAACTTATAAAATAACTAAGGTCTTTCAATAGCAGCAATGTTAAGAAAGTCATTTCTTTGTGCGTTATTAGTTTGTAAGATTTGTTGCTTATGTTTATTATTTTGAAAACTGCTTTTATTGACTGTGCTCTTTTTATTTTCTCTTTTTTTCGCAAATTATTTAGTAATTTTTTGCACGACCATGAGGGCTCAGCAATAAACTTTGGTTGAATAAAACGCTGGTTTG